TAATTTATAAAATTTATTTATTAATTAAAAAATTTATTTATTAACGAAAGAAAAAAATAAATATTCTAATCCAAGATTCATTACATTGCAGAACGAATTATATTCCAAAGTGCTCATGTCTGAGCCAAACGTACACAGCGACTTCAGTAGACTAGCGCGGTGGCTGACTGGCACCTCGGTTGGTCTTGTTTTAGGTGGAGGTGGTGCAAGAGGCGCTGCTCACGTGGGCATGCTGAAAGCTATCATTGAAGCAGGTATACCTATAGATATGGTTGGTGGTGTCAGCATCGGTGCCTTCATGGGTGCTCTGTGGTGTATGGAAAAGAACATCACTACTACTACACAAAAAGCTAGAGAGTGGTCCAAGGTAAGATAAAATAGATTTCTCGATTCCTATTGTCGTACTCTGAATTCTTTTATTATTATTAGATTTCTAGAGTATAATATAAATCTGTGTAAATGTATTCAAATTATAATTTTTTTTTTTTTTTTTCAACTATCTGCATACTCAAATATATAGATTTATTTCTTCTTTACTTTAATAACTTAGAGAGCCTTACGAGAGCCTTATTGAATATGAATCGAAAAATGTTTGTATACAAAAATACTACATTTATTTTCCGATAGACAATGACTCAATGGTGGCGGCAGATTATGGATTTGACTTATCCGATGACATCGATGTTCTCTGGTAAAGATTTTAACAAAACGATACAGCAGACTTTCGGCGACACGTATATAGAGGACTTGTGGCTCCCATATTTCACTATAACCACAGACATCACGGACTCCTGTATGCGCACGCATAGACACGGTCTGTACAAATCTAGTGCCTTAAATTTTCTTCTAAATATTAACAGTTAAAGCTTCTAATTTGATTTAATTTTCATACATTCGTTCATTGGTGTTTGATTCATTGGTATTTTTTTCATTTATGATTTTTCATATATGATTTTTAAATATAAAATTGTATAAGAAATAAAAATTGTTATAGTAAACTTTTTTGACGTCTCAAAGATTCTGCAAGTGGATAATGCAGCCAATATAACTAGAAGCTTTGACATGTTATTAAAAAATAATAATAATATATCTATAAGAGTGAATCAAAAAACAAATACGTAAGAGATGTGTTTCATTCTATAGAATATCTAAAATTATTTCGGCAATCGACTTTGGATGTATGAAAAATAGAAACATATGAACATCATTCTTTCTTGATTCACATAGCTTTGTCATGGCATGTAAACTTGTTTTTAGATGTGCACATTAGCATGATAGTAGAAGCTTTTAACGAGCGGGAGTGAGCTTTCCGGATAACTATTGTTGACGTACTCTCCGTTTAATGCCATTTTTAAAGAAAAACCCGAATGAGACATATTTTTATTTTCACTCAAATATATAAAAATCGTAAATTAATGTGCATATACTTCCTGTATGCTTTTAATATTAAAATTACAATATGGGAAAAATATTGCTCTCAATTATTGAGAGCTCCAAAAATTACTATTTAAAAATTTGTAAATAAAAATAAAGTACAATATGCCACTAATTGTTCTTAAATAGAAAAAAGATTAAATATTCAATATGAATAAACTGAATGTGAAAACCGAAGAATCTAAAGATTCTGTAATATTATTATTATTAACATTGTTTTATATCAATAAAGTTCGATCAAAATTTTTGCCGAAACTAAACCGAAACATTCGATGTGCCAATTTCCACCGAAATCGAAATCAAAATTAAAAAATAGGAATCCTATAAAGGCCATTTGTATAGACATGTTCATTATATCATATATTTTTTTATTCATAAATATCATAATTTATTGTAACAATAATTAAATTCTGGTTGAAATCGAAAATCAAAATTTCGGTTGTATCAATTTTAGCCAAAGAATATAAGTACTTCTTCATAAATATCATAATTTAATTATTGAAACAATAATTATACATATTAAAATTAATATTTATGAAGAAGAGCTATAGGTTTTAGTCAAAAGTGACACGTAATGAATTTTCAATTTCAGTAAAAGTTTCGGTCGAACTCTAATCATCAATATATTGTTGCAGTTTCAATCAATTTTGATTAATATGATTAATATGATATTTCTTATTATATATACGTAAATTCATATACAGAAAGAAAATTTAATTAATTACAGTTAGTACTAAGAATACAGGAAGTATCTCGGATAATGTAAACCGGTAAATGTAGGATATTAAAGAAAATGATTCTTTAGGATCGCTGTGGCGGTACATTCGGGCCTCGATGTCATTGTCTGGTTATATGCCACCCATGTGTGATCCTGTTGATGGCCATCTCCTGCTCGACGGCGGGTACGTCAATAACCTTCCAGGTAATTCTAATCGCACTGATGAACGGTAATCTTTCTTTCATGGTCAGTGCAGAACTTAAAGCAAAACACCAATTATTGATGTCAAGATAATATGAAATTTATTTAGGAGACACCACTAGAAATTTACACTTTTTATCTTATATAACAAAATCTGTGTTAATAATTTTACAAATGCGTATAAATTATATAATTTGGCAATTTATCGTGAAAACAATATTTATCATGAAAATGATCGTATATTGATCGTATATTTATTTTACGACAAAATATTAACTCTTCTTTGAACTTTAATTAATTGGTTATCTAATTTTAATTGGATTCTATATTATTTCATATTTATCTTGGCACGATGTTGAAGATTTATTTATAAATGTTACTGAAATACAATAAAAGTATGAAATCACAAAAAACATCAAGCTCACTCCCGTTGATAAAAGATGCAATTATCAAATTCTGAATAGTTAAGTCCGCTCAGGTTTACTATGGAGATATATTCGCGGCAGTATGACTATCGCGGGGGTCTTTCCTCCAGTTTGCGATCCCCTTGATGGGCATCTTTTGGTCGACGGGTGTTATGTTAATAATGTGCCAGGTATTCGTTCTTTTCTATCGTTTCTTTTCTATCATTTATGTTTAATCCTGATTATAAGCTCTCAATGGTCCTTGATACTTTCAATCATGTACAGTCAGTATTTTTTTCTTAGAAAAATATAGCATAATATAAATCTATAGAAAAAAATATATAAATTTTATGTATGTAGAAAATATATATGCAATTTTACATGAAAATCATATATATATATATATATATATATATATATATATATATATATATATATATATATATATATATATATAAAATTCAATAATTTTGTTTCATAAATTAGACCTTTTATAAAATAGAAATAAATTGATATTAATATTCTTGATTCATACATTCTTCACATTTTCGTTTAAGCTGACGAAATGTTACGGCAAGGAGCACATCATATTCTGGCCATTGACGTCGGATCACAAGACGACACAGACTTGACGAATTATGGGGATTCGTTGTCCGGTTGGTGGTTACTGTGGAAGCGGTGGAATCCATTTGCCACACCCGTGAAAGTGCCAAATTTACCAGATATCCAATCTAGATTGGCATATGTAAGCTGTGTTCGCCAACTAGAAGAGGTGAAAAGTTCGGATTATTGCGAGTACATTAGACCACCAATTGATAAGTATAAGACTCTCCAATTTGCCAATTTTGACGAGATCAAGGATGTGGGATACCAGCACGGTAAGAAATTGTATCATTATGTTAAATCTATTGTAAAAAATTGTAAATCAATATAATAGATGTTATAAAGAATATATTATAACGTAAATTTCATATTAATAAGAAATGAAACGTTTATACACATTTAAATATATCTATAAGATTGAAATGAATCAGGAACATTCTTCAGGAAAAACATATTTCGAGGGTCAATCAAAAGCCGGAGTTCTCCCTCGATTCAACGCGGATCGAGAGAATGCGAGAGCTATGCGAGCGAAATATCAAGCGGCTAATCAACAGTCACTCTCTTCATACACTTTCACCGATCTTGCGCAGATGGTGTGTAAAGTTTCGCGTGGTAGTCGATACATCGATCTCGATATAGATTCAGATTCGGACGAACTAGAAGAATACGAAGCGGACTTGGAAGAAGATGCACAGGAAGTAGGATACGCGTCTGAACCCACTGCCGGTATTTTAGATCAGGCAAGTCTTATTTTTTATTATTCATGTTAAATACAAATCTCTGTATTTGTTACATACAAGATTAAAAATCAATCAGGAAGACACATCTAATTTTTTTCCCATTTTCTGTTAGAAAAGATTATATATGCTATCAATTTTTCAATTTCTAAAATCATCCTATGTATCAATATCAATTCTATGAAAGATTCCTGAAATTCTGATTGAACATGTATATTATAAATATTATATTGTAAAATAAGAGATTAAAATATTTATCTTTCGTATTACAAAATAGTAAATATTTTTATTAAATTTCTTCATAATGATACAATTATAATTTTATTTAATTTATTTTAGAGTCCTGAGGATAATCGTCTGAGACGAAGAACTGGCGTTTCACTTAGTCTATCCGATACCGAGGCAGAGTCGGAATTAGAGTATCATCCAAAGATTTTTTGAATGCTTATTTAATTACCCACAACATCGTATTTGTATAATTCGCTCAACGAGAAAAATTCAACAGAATTTTCTCAAACATAACTTTACTACTCGGATGCACTATAAGTGATTGACCTACATCGAAGTACAAAAACAATTATTGCAATTGTATAATCACGGAAATGCTCTGAAATTACGTCACAATGCAATGTGTATCGTTTTAACATAATAAGTAATTAATATTATTATTGTACTATTAAACATATTATGTTAAATATAATTTTACGATTTTTAAAAAAAAGTTATTTATTATTTTAACATTACACCTTTTATTTTATATATATAT